GAAAGCGGATTCCGTGATGCTCAGGGTGGGGAGCTCTCAGAGAATTGGGAACTTACAAGCGATCATCAACCTTAGCGAAGCCACATGTTTAGCTTTCCACTGCTGTACATGAAATATAGAACAAAAAGGCATCACACAAGGATTAGCTGACGACCAACAGTCGATTTGGAGTTCAGGTATTGAGGCTTGAAGAGGCTTGTGTCTAGATGCCGCGATTCCCAACGCCAAGATGTCATTTTTATAATTGATGTTCTCGACTGTCAGTTGCCCATTCAGATAATACAAGGCCAAGGTACCGATTACGGAGTAGCCAGATCATCTCTTCCACCGTTAGGGATTTGAGTTTGTATGTAATGTTACAACTGTTTTTGTCTGGCATATGAAGACAGGGATGATTTGTTGGGATTTTTAAACTCTATGTTCAGTTTCCTCATTTGCTGATGCTCAAACTCTATAATATAGGGCTGAGACAATCCTTTGCCAAGACTTCAGACTTGTTTGCAGTTTAGGTTTTGTTTGAGTTTTCTTTGGGGAACAACACGGAACAAGTAGACACCATCATTGTTGAAACATTCAAGCATTGGTTTTTCTGCAGCATGGGCAAACCAGCATTGAACTCAATGCCAGAATACCAGTATTCGAAGCTTCTTTCGAGCTTCATTAGGTATGACCGTTACTGCCTGATGTAACAAACTATTTCTTGGGTACTTGGAAATTAGTCCCTGTCAGCAGCCAGGATATTTTCCTATCCCAACATGCATCCCCCACGTGCAAATGCCAGGGTTCGGCGATGCCGCTCTCCAATATGTACGTATCCTTTTCACTTAGACGCCAGACGCATCCTTGTCTGGTTGGCAATTGTCAGTGATTTGTTATTGATTGATTATCAATCACTGTGGGATATCAGCAAACAAGAAGCACAAATGCAATTGTATTTTGTCCTTATGTACTTTGTCTTTGTATTTGAAATAATTGGTCAACCTGCTCGCTTCAACGGCTGCTACCTAACCCTCTTGGCAATAAATTTGAGCGTTATCTGTAGGGAATGTCTTGGGTAGCAGAGCCTCAAAATCCTTCGGTATGTCGAACATTCGTTGGGAGCTTTTCTTGGTCCCCGGAGATTACCGCATTCCTTCGTGGATTTTCGGCCGGAGACGCAAGGACCACAAACAAGTGAGGACGAGTAACGAGATTAACGGCCCGACAATCAATAATGCCAGAAAGCGCCACAACAGAGTTCACCAGGGAGGTGCCTCCTTCAGAGAGTTCCATGTCCCCATTTTTCTTCTTTCTCACCGTGACTTTCGGTCAGGAAAAAGGGTATTTCACCGCAACAACAGGCAGGCGAACAATGTAATCGCTTTAGAAGACAAGTAGAAGCATCGGTCAATTATAGGGGACTACTCAACCAGAATCACGGAGTCATGATTATGCTGGCATGCCATGCAGTACTGTGGATATCCCGTCTCATCCATAGTGCATGATACCATCATCGTGCATCAGAAGTCAGCACTCGGGACAGACAGAAAAGGGAAAAACAAAACAGACTTTTTGGATGGAGAAGATTGCGGTGTAAAAACAGGTTGCTGCGCCTCGATTCGCTTATCAAACCAGGGATCTGCCAATGGAAATCCGGGTAGATCTGTATTCCGAAGTATTATTGGACCATCTAATGTGGCTCGACCAAGGTGTGGCGCTAAGGCTATTTTGGAGCGCTTTCCTCACCGATCTCGAATGTTTTGTCATGTCACGTTCCGGAGAAGAGCGTCCATGTAACATCCACATTCCTTCTTCTGGGATCTGGGATTGACTCAACCAATGCCCCGTTTGAGGTCTCCTGCATCTCGAAACCTCTCGGCAACCGCAGTAAATAACACAAGTTGATGTACTCCATACTGCATCATCATGACCAAACTTTCATCAGACATACAAACTACCTACTAGATACGGTACCCACCCCATGCCTGTAAATGCCATATTCAGTTGGTGAGAGATCAGATATTTTGTCCAAGGTACTCAGCGCTCGTACTACACAATCAGGTGCAAGCCCTTGACTGAACTGGCTCTTGTAAATACCTACCCGACTCGAATCACACATGGCGTACAGGTACAGCACCAGCATGGTCGTTCATAAGTTGGACTCTCAACTCTAGTGTACGGAAATTTCAAATACGAAGTAATACGGAAACAGGTCGCGCTAAGACTCAGCCTTGTAGGTACCTTAGGCACACTAAAAGCCGACACCACTCGAAAGGTTACCCACGCCAACACCGGGCATACAATCTTTGAAATTGTTTTCAAATGACTAGTACTGAAACTAAGAAGCTCATTAACGTCGACGCAAAACCTTCGAGGCAACACTCGCAGAAGAGTGACATTATTAATTCCAAGCAGAAAGATTCGTCCACGTCAAAACGAAGCACAGGGCGGGTTCTTCCCGTCTGTGCCAGTTCAGGCTTCTGATTGGACTGTCTTCCTCGAGCATCATTTGCCTGTCACAAATCTGAGCCAATCGATTAGGCGAAAGTCATATGCACGTTCCTCGAAATGGCTGGGGTCGTGGGGCTGGGCTATCTAAGATCATCAACAAAGCCCCAGAACCAAAAAAAGAGCTAACCGGACCAAGGGGAAAGGTGTTCGGAAACCTGCGGCCATGGTTCAAGATCTAGAGTTTGCTGCTTCCCGTGTCTCCTCAGGAGTGAAGATGATCTGTACCGGATTGACGGGACAGTTGGATGAGGCTTTGCCAGACTGTCAACTTGCCAAGCAGATATCCAATCAATGATGATATTTTTTTGAGTCTTCATTAACCATGCCGGTTGCCATTGATTATCAATATCATTTTTAATCCATAAGTCCATATATCCGTAGATTGGATTGTGAGTACTGTGTGGAACAGCAGAACTACTTCATTTCAAATCACTCATCCTTGCTATGATTTACCCCATAGTCCCGTCTCCGTAGGTCTTCGTGATACCCCTCGTTTTGCAACTCCATGGGAGAGAATTTTGCCCACCATCTTATCTCCAAATCATGATCATACTGAAAGATAAGGAGGAATGATAATAAGAAGATTTAGCGGAAGCATGATAAACAAAGTTTCCTGGAGAGTCAGAGGAGAAATTGCTTGATTACTGGACTCCGTAGTCTGTATTCGTACGAGTTACGAAGTACAGTCCCCGTCCGGTCTGACGGTGCCAAGTCAATTGTACACGGACTTGCCGATGACATCTGTATCCACAAATGTCAAGCATGCATCCCTAGTGCGAATGGACACGGGGTTCCCGATACACAAGAATGATGGACATCGACCAGGGAAATTGTATCATTATTTCTTTAAGGTAAGTACGTAGCTTCGAAATAATTATTAATAATTTTATTCCGTTCATCAAACATGCAGAGTATGTTTACGTGCTCTGTTCAATTCATGCCAGTCTAAAGATAACCCGCGGAAGCAAGCACCTACCATGGTGACTTAAGCTGTAACAAGGAACCATATCAACAGGCCTGAGTATCTCAGTCACAGCGGATAAAATCATCGCCTACAGGCCTATGAAGCTGGAAATAAAACAATGCAAGGAACCATTGAATAGGTATACAATACAACACATGGAAACATTAGCGACCTAAAAACACTGCAGTAGCCATGACAATCACTAATGGGGAAGAACTTATGGCAGTGCAAATGGGGCACGCAGATTTAGTGGTATTTCTGTAACTCAAATACCGCTAAAAATATTTATGGGGGATTAAAAATAAAATAGGTAAATCTAAAATCAAAAATGGTACCAAGACCCTGCTTGACCATGATCTCCACTTCCCCTGTTCCCCTCGCTTTCTCAGTCCTAACAATATCTGGCAAAATGAACAAATACATTTATCGTTTCCTAATTTTTTTAATCATTTTTCCCGACACTTGGTTTTATAAAAATACATTTAATACGCTACGGGCGGTATCATTGTCATCTACCACCCAGAATCCACATCCGCCCACCCCAGTCAGTCTCAATGCACACTAGGCAATCCCCTGTCTCCTGCTGCGCATTTCACCTCCAGTAGTCTGGATGGGCTTGACTTAGTGCTATTAGTTTCCTTAGTCTTAGTTCATCCAGTTCGTAGTAGTTTAGTTCACTTAATCTATCTAGTCAGAATCCACTCTAGTAATTTAGTCCAGTCCACTGCAAGCCCAGAATGAGGTACACTTTCTCTTGTAGGGCCAGCAATCATATAACATTTAACAGTTGCTCTCCCTCCTCCCTCCCGTCCGTCAATTCTTCATCCTACATAAGGCTCATCCTACCTCGAGGAACATTAGATCCTGACAAGTAGTGATAAAAGAAGCGCTCATACAAGACAGCACCTTGTCCTCCTCCTTCCCTTGATTTCACCTGCTCCTGCAACATACTTCACACTCCTCCCGGACTTGGCCGTGCAGGTCCACTGACTTGCATCCAATTGCCTTACGTGTGACTGTTATTCTTCTCTTATATATATTCTGTTCATCCAAAATTGAGGAATGAAGTAATTCAGAATCGAATTCTACCTCGATTGTCCTGCATGTCGCGCGGCTTGCTGTTCTCTGAATAGATCCCAGTCCCTCTGCGATTCGCTCAAATACCTCGAAATACTTTTCGCTTGAAATCGAAAGATCGTCCTGTGAACTTCCCCTTACATCGCGCAGGTGACTATCAGCTCGTTGACCGAGGTTCACGTTCTCGTTTGAGCGACCTTTTCTTCAGGTATGCTCTCATTTCCCATCAGCGTCGATTTTCTGTAGCGATCTACCAAGCTTGCTTGCTGCAACAACACAATGAACGAAGATGGTGACTGATAACCAACCTCTCTCAGATTCTGCGCCTCGATCTCCTCACTGAAACGCAGGCCTCGTCTTTCACCGAATGGTGGGGACTAGCGCAGTCGACTATCGATCTTAGGACATCTGCATGCAGAGCCCCAGAGCACAATCCGACTTTGTTCTATACCTGCACAAGAAAGCCATCATGTTGGCATTGGACTCGTCACGTCAACAACAAACATCATACTTTCACGACGTCCCTATGGACCCAGCATTGGTCGATCCGTTCGGATTCCAAATGGATAACCTCGGCGGGTTTGGGCAGACTTCTGGTTCAACCAGCGCCCCAACATCTTATTACGAAACATCACCTGTTTATGCTGATTCGCAGCTTGAGCCCAAAACTTCCGGTTTCCCTCCCATGCCTCCTACTCCCCCATCCCTTCCAGTACCCTATTCCACAGAGCCTTATATGTCGGGCCTCTCCAGTGCATCTGGGCCCTCCATCGCAAGCGCATCATCATCGGCGATCGGTTCGCCATACTCCGGTACAGCACATACCTTCCCGGAGAGCTGGGTCGATACTAACCACGGTATCGGGCTTCCTGCAGCCGTCATGGATGAGTTCTTTCCCAATGAGTTTATGGGAAGCTCGTTAGAAGCGGATCATATGTATCAGAGGAAAGGCCCAGACGACTTTGTTGGTGAGTTCCATGAGTTTGCATCCCGTTTTGTTACTAAAGCAGATTCCTACGCCTGCCTTTCGACCGTCAAATTGCCGAGCCTTTTGAAATGCTGACTAGTGGCCAACAGATCCTTCCTTGATACAGCCAGTACACCAATATCCAAACTATTCAACTCCTACTATCTCGTTTCCAGAACACTTGAGCTTCTCAGCCAACTGTGGATATTTCCTTCAGTCTCCCGACCCATCTCACCTCCCCGTTGCCGAGAACTACTCCGCAGATCACCTTTCACAAACAGGACTGGCAGTCTCTTCTCCTATTTTGAACTCTGCCCCCCACTCACGCCCTGTTTCGATCTATGACCGGAGGTCGTCCATTTCATCCACCAATTCCCGTCGATCTCAGCTGAGTCCAGCTGCGAGCGTCGCAGATTTTGATGAAGAGAGCAGGGAGAAAGGACGCTGTCCTCATCCCGATTGCGGAAGAGTCTTCAAGGATCTGAAGGCTCATATGCTCACGCATCAATCAGAACGACCCGAGAAGTGCCCCATAGTTACGTGCGAATACCACGTTAAGGGATTCGCTCGTAAATATGACAAGAACAGACACACGCTCACCCATTACAAGGGAACCATGGTTTGTGGATTCTGTCCAGGTTCTGGGTCACCTGCGGAGAAAAGCTTCAACAGAGCGGATGTCTTCAAGCGTCACTTGACCTCTGTGCATGGCGTTGAGCAAACACCACCCAACTGTCGCAAGAGGAGTCCTGGTGCAGCTTCTGGCAAGAAGGTCTCGGATTATTGCCAGGATGCCACTGGCAAATGCTCAACTTGCTCGGCCACCTTCAGCAACGCACAGGACTTTTACGAGCATCTTGATGATTGTGTTCTCCGGGTTGTGCAACAAGTAGAGCCTAGCGAGGTTATTAACCAGCAACGGCTGGCGGAAGTGGACTGCGATGAGGAGGTCAAGAAGACCATGGAGAAGCACAAGCTTCTCGGTGCCGCCGGCGACGTCGATGATGAACCTGAAGAAGATGACGATTATAACGAACTCAATCTTCAGCTGCGATCAAGCAAAGGTGCATTCAAGTCAAACAAAGCGAATTCGAGCTTAGGATCTCGTTCCATCTTGGGTGGCCACAACGCTGTTACCAAAAATGGCAAGGCCCGTGCAACCATTTCGAAAAGGCGCAACAACCGCGATCGCTACCCTCCTTCCTGGGGCTGCCCCAGCAGCAGCATGAAGACGAAGAAGCGCGTCTTGTGCGTCTTCGACGGCCAGCGCCGTCTGTGGAAAGATGAAATGATGCTCGACAATGAGTTCGAAGTACGGCTGAAGCTTCCCGGAGGAGCTGGTGACGGTACAAACCGGGAGGCATATATAACCGACCTGGATGTCGAGACTTTAAAACGTGCTGAAGGCGTGTTGAGCGCCAACGAGGATGAAAGGGGTCCCTGGTTAGAGGGACCGGCAACCCATCTCATGGGACAGCCAGCGACGATGTTGCATACACTTTCTCATCCTCACGAAGATGTCGATATCGATGACTTGATGTCATGAATGCGGCCACCTTCCTCGATTGTGCCTTATTTTCCCTCTTCACTCTTACCTTTCTGTTGGATACCTCTCTGTTTTGCATATGCCGCATCATGAATAGCGAAATCTGTGTGCTATATACCGGATATGATACCACTTACTATTTTATCTGCTTTGATGTATGACTTCTACGTCTCATTTGTCAGCCTGTGTGTTTCTTTTTGGCTGTCATGGTGTCACGGGAAACGGAAAGGATTCTGATACCAGACAAAAAGCTCTACCTTCTACTTTCCATAAATAATATCTGCTCTGCTAGACAGAGATGAATCCGACGTGTTCTTTCTGCATTATTTCTTCATAAGGAAAATGGTAAGATACTTCAATGACTACCTAGCCTTCGGCTCAGTGCGGCTGCAGCTAGAAGGTATAAAGAGTATCAAATGCGATAATCTTTGGGGCTTATCCGAGCGTACAGCTGTAGACGTACAAGACTTATACATAAATTGTCGTTCTAAGATGCTGTTGCTGGTTGTCAAGGGTGAAAAGGGTGATGAGTGGATTTGTGGTTCATGTTGATTGGGATTCCCCGCAGATGCCAGGCCAGGCTTTGCTCCGCAATCTCCGAAGCCACAGAGCCAACAACCATTCTCTTTCTTTCTTTCGGTCCCTTCAGGAACCGAGTCAATCGCAGAGATCAACCCAGAGGGCCACCAACATGCAATTGGGCTTAAGGGAGAGTCTCCCTGCTCTGGTAGCCAAGCGTTTCACTGCAGCCAAGGAAAGTGGCCACCTGATATTCTCACATACTCATCTCTCCATAATCAACTCTGGAGGAATCCCGGTAGGCTGTGTGCTCTTTCAATTCCCTTCCAAGGTGATATAGCTATCTTTGAACCTACAGTGCTAACCGCGACGTTTTTAAGTATCAACTTCGTTACTGCCCAGCTCTCGCAGACAAACCCTCAGGCGCTCCTAAATCCGACAAGGACCGGCCAGGTCCTAAGCCCGATCCTTTCGAGAATCCCTCTACAGACCTTTTGATCGCTCAGATTCCTCAAGAAAACCCAAAATATACACTTGTCTTGAACAAATTCCCTGTCATACCTAACCACTTCATCCTCGCGACCAAGACATGGAAGTCTCAAACGGATATTCTCGAGAGGGAGGACCTGGACGCTGCTTATGCCTGCATCAAAGCTTGGAGGGATAACCGGACTGAACAGGGAGACTCGGGGTCAAAGAGACTATTTGCATTCTTCAATTCTGGAGACGAGAGTGGCGCGAGTCAGCCCCATAGGCATTTGCAGTTCTTGCCAGTGGAAGCCATGTCTCAGGGTGACTCGGGAACCTGGCAGCCTCTCATTGACACGGTTTCATCCCAGTCGGTAGGCCCCGACTCGGAGTACCGACGCTTGAGCCAAATACCCTTCGCCCATTTTGCACTACCGCTGCCACCGAACCCAACGGCAGATACCCTGCATGCGATCTATTTATCTTTGTACAGAGTAGCGCTCTCGACTGCGAAGGGAAGCCTGGGGGACCATGCACGAGTGACAGATGGCCCTGCGGCAATCAGCTACAACTTAGCCATGACCGAGTCGATGATGATGATTTGCCCTAGAAGATGTGAAACTGCTCGTATACCTGTCGACCCAAGCGCTTTGCCAAATGTCCAGGAACCTGGCGTCGTGGCCCTGAACGGCACAATCCTAGCCGGAACGCTTATGGTCAAAGCTGAGGCCGAGTGGAATGAGCTTCGGCGCAATCCGGATACGTTGGCGGACATACTCGCGTCTGTCGGCTATCCCCAGCCAGACTCTCATGAACTCGCTTTGTTATGACGATCATTGGCGTGGCCTCCTCAATTCCGATAGAGAGGATGTATATAGCATTGTCGCATCAAGACGCTCTGTCTTTTGCATTGTATGTGAGTTGACGATACAGTACATATGACACAGCATTCAGAAATCTCTCCATTTATTTGAAGCCCAAGATAAGCGACTAAATACGCAAAACAGTGTCCCGCCAAGGACAAAGGAGAAGCACAAGGAATACCAAGACGGGAGCAATGGGACAATAACGCTGAGATAGTCTAAGACTTCTTTGTCCAGAATGCCACCTAGATCATATCTTTACATTGTGCACTTCACACCACTTCTTCTTGCAGGTCGCATTCCCGAAATGATACGAGCCTCCATGAGTCCATATATACTGAGCGACCTTCTTCCAAGACACTCTGGGTGGCAAACCTACACCTCTGGGTCGACACGACGGCGCAAATGCATTAGAGGTCTGCTTTCCAGACCCCGAACAGGCGTTGACTGCTTCGCAGAGCAGTTTGATCTGCGTTGGGCATCAGCTGAGAACGAAAGGGACGCTTGGAATTCTGTTCACTCACATCTTTGTCTTTCCACTGAGGTTTTCTCACCCTCTGCTCCTTGGACTTTGTGAGGGTCCGGAATCTGCCACGGAGGGTTGATTCGGCTTCTTCGAATCCCCCGAGCCTCTTGATATCCTTGTATGACAATCCGCGGCGTTTGCACTCTATCAAGAATGCATTTCGGACTTCATTGTGGCATGAGATTGACCTGGTGCTTGTTCGTCCTTGATGGTTTAGGGCGCCGTCGCTGGTGATTTTGGCTTGCGCAGATTGCATGATTTCGTATCGGTGCTGAGGGTACGTGAGGTCGGCGTTAGTATATGTCAACTGGCAATGTCCATCGTCGGCTGCACTCCGGTCATTGGCGCTTGTTGAGTTGTATTCATGAGGTGTGAAGGGGTACAGAACAGACGGTGGTTGCTGAGGGTAGTGCTGGCTGCAGTCTACAGAAGGTAGACCGTGGCAGGCGTCCAGTGTGGCGTTGCGAGGAATCTCTTCAACCCGACCACCGTGATGACGCAGTTGAGAAAAGTAGTTGTTCTGGAGCTCAGATCCCGGACTCTGCATCTCCCATGGCACCATCTGTCCGCCGCTGGAGCAGTGAAGAGGCGTGCTGCCACTGCATGTGCCGGCCATAGGAGTATAAAGATCGTCGGCTGTGGCCACAGAGCTACCCGGCGAGCCTTGGTTGTGGAATAGCATAGCGCCTTCAATGTGCCTATAAGGACGGTGCACTCTGCGGAAACCGTCCTTGAACGAGCCCGGTAGACTCTCTCGCGAGGCAGAAGGTGATATTGTATGTGATGTGGCGTTGGTCTCTGGGAACGAACCGAAGGGGTCCGCAGCCATGTACAGACTCGGCCTAGGAATGGGGTGCACTAGGCCGCAAGGATAGTTGTCGGACTTGGCCTCTTCATCACAGAAAGCACTGTCTTGTACGGGAACATCGAGCTTGAGTTCGTCATGTTGTTCACGATTTTCAGGACCAGTGATGCCTTCCTCAGGCTGTCTAGGTCGATGCAGAGTTTGGATATTGGCGAGACAAGTACAGTACTCAGGAGAGAGACCGTGCTCAGGTTCAAAAGAAGTCAGAACATCTGACCATGAGCAAACGTCTGGTTTCATCGTTTGTTCGTCGGCCATTGGCAATCTGTTTGAGGTGTCAACTATAGCTTCGGACTGTCCTTCAGTGACCCCAGTGCTGTGGTTTGTCCAGGGCTGTTCACAGTTGGTCATCTTTCTAGAGTACAGCTCAGACTGCTGATCGCAAGACTTTGTCTGGAACAGATGTCCACGGTCCTCAAAAAGGTAACTGGCAGGATCGGGATCAATAGAATCTGGGTTCTTCTCGAAGATTAAACATGTTTTGGAGTGATCCGGACCGACGAGCACGCGGAGCATCGCTTTAAGAGAGGCCATATTACCCTTCCTGTCGCCCAGTTCACCGCTCCTGTCGTCTATGGCCGTTATAGATGGCGGGTGAAGCGCGTGCATGGGAAGTTTTACTGACGGACTATGCACGTTGCTGGGGTTGACGGGACACCTGCAGGACACATGTGCACACTGAGCATGTCAAGATCCATATGGAGAGGTTTCACCTGCCATGGGGCATGATTGACATACTGACGATCTCTGACTGGGCGCCACACGCGCTGTATGTGCGTCCGCGTTTTTTCAAGTGCAATGTCTTAGCTGTTGGTGGCGCCCTGCTCTGAGCACCGAAAAGGAAAGAGAAGGAAGGCGAGATAAAGAAAAAGAATGCAGCAGATGCTATTGAAGGGAGATATGCCGATGTGAAGGCGACTCTCGCTGCCACGGTTGATAGGAGCAGAGTCAATTGTTCATGGGAGAGAAGCACAAGTTCGAACAGACGGTATGATGTCTCAGGTTTCCTTCTCTTCCACAGAAGTCGTTACGATTCAAAGATGTCGGGGTCTCCAAGCTCAGAGTGGGACTGTTTCAACACGCTGCGTGTGATGTAACGGTTTATCTGAGCCAAGAGGGAACGGATTGTTCGAGCTCTAAACGAGAGAATCGGAAAGAATAAAGGACAGGACAACAAAGAGACACTTTCAGGCTGGTTGACAACCAAAGACAGACACCCCTCTGAGCTGCTCTTGACATTGAACCACCAAGTGAGACCGGCCCTTTAATAAGGTCTCAGACCTTAGATCCCCTAGAAACATCACCGTTTTCATAAAACCTCGAATCTTCACACGAGTAATGACCAAGCCGAATGCCATTGCCTATTTGCCTCTTCCTCCAAAACTAGACAATGGGCTGAAGAACTATCGACTCTCGTCTCAATAGAACATGGATGATACCAGGAGAGATATCGCCGCCCATACACGACCTCTGCAAACCTGCTTCTCCTGCCCTCTACTAGATACTCCCGTCCCGATGATCAATTGACCAGTCTCAAGGCCTTCCCCGCAGATCTCCCAATACAGTAGTCCAGACAGTCTGACGGACCCTTTCGAGACGACCCGAACGAAGTACCAGACATCCGGTGCAAATCCCGCAGAGCAATTAAGAAAATACCCTAGGAAAAGGCCAGTACAATGCACGAATGAGAAACGAGCAGACGACAGACGCACCGACGGATCCAACCTGACTGGCGTACAGCGTCGACATGCTGGCCCGGATAGCCACATGCAGGACTTGTTTTTCTCGCACTTCCGCGGTGATCTTGGCTGCAGGACGCCTGCAGTTGAACCTTTTTCTCTTTATTCTTTTTTTTTTTTTATTTTCCGTTCTTTTTCCTAGACGGGTTGTCGAATGTATCGAGGAGAAATAAGAGTCGGAGGATTTTCAAGCTCTTGGTGATCATACTGACTATTGAACGGGACGTTTGATCGGAGTTGATCGGATGTACATTTCGTACTTCTTTTTGCCCCTTCCACTAGAACGTCCCCATCGCGTCATCAGAGCTGATAATGAGTGGAATATCCATAGATAGATGGAAGTGTGGGTGGATTCAGGTTGTTCAACGACTGCATATGCAGATGTAGGACCCTTCACCATCAGTCACAGACATATCTTGACTTGACCAATGAATACAGTGTCCTCCGGTTCTGACTTTAGGTTAGATAGAGCTAAAGGACGCAATTTTAGGGTTCATCCCGCACCCTTAATTCTAATTCGACACACGAATCCATTAAGGATTGACAAAGGATCTAAGCTTCATGCCTTAGTCTGAGCTAAGTCACTTTCTATAATTATCCTTGCCGCAAACAACCCGCCTAGAGTGAAATGGAACGATTGCCTAGTCTAGGTCTTGCTAAGGTTCCAACCCGACCATACTCAAATCGATACATCCATCCTGGCAATCATGTTTGACCTTTAAACGAACTATCCCATTATTGGAACGAGACCTATTCTCTGCCATCCCCACTACTAGGATATAATAGGTGATCATCGCATTAATGCAGCATCCCTGAACCCACACAGTATACCGCTCTTAATGATGATCTTATGAACTCGCTCCACCAGTCCCAAGAATGTGGTAACGTGACGATCACCTTATACGAGAGCCGAGCCTGAGGCTGCGGTATGGTCTATAAGGCCACACAAGGGACTATTGAACCATCGGATTCCTTGAACTCAAGGACTGGAGTCCTCCATCAACGAAGGTCTGAAAATCATCCTTCGCCTCTGCGGATAAACAAGTACAATGTCGGATTTGACTTTGGTACAACCCGTCTTTGATGTGCGTTCCCGCTGCCGTCCATCCGGTTTGTCATCGCCGTTGTTTTGCTTCGGCCGGGAAGAAGGCAACTGTTGGAATCTTCTCCAAAAGAATTTCGGGCTCCAGACAATTGCAAATCATACTTTCAATATTCTGCTGATCAGCACATTCCGGTTGACCCATTTGATTGGCATGATTGCATTGATTTGAGTTAATTCCTGTAGCCTGGTCTCAAATCCATTCGATATGAATCCTTCTGATACCCTCCGACTCAGATTGATACATACATGTCCTGAGCTCAGACCCCAGCTTATCTATTTCACGCCTGCTAAACCCCTTAAGGTTGCCGGAAAGGAGCAGACCAACCACGATCTGCCTGAATCTAGAGGCGAAAAGTACGGATACTCGTCATAGGCACGGATCGGAACTTTCTGTCGACAATAGGCTTCTGCTTTGCCTGTTCCGGTTCCCCACCGCACCATTTCATGTCAAACGCTCTTGGCTGATGGCAACCCGATATGAGGATGATTCCAGAACCACCACTCTTGGGCCTGATGACATGAGTTGAGCATCGCTTTCCCGCGTGGACCGGTCTTTTGCCTGGCTGCGTTCCTCAAAGTGGTCCAAAAGTCGGTCAATCAACAAAACTACATTCGAAACGGGACATCAGATCTCCATGGTGCAAAAATGGCCACGAGGACTCACTTGTTAGCAGTATGACCGTAAATGCGTATAATATGACCGGAGACGTCATGAAGGAGTACGCCAACGCAAAATGTTGGACGAAGGAAACCATGCCGAGCACTATTACTGCAAGTACCAGGCGAACAGCAACGCCAATCCCGACGTAGAGCTTGCGCTGGTGGCGATGTGCCAACAGCGTAAAAGCCGCAAAAAGAAACATCGCGATTGACGCCACAACGAAAAAGTACACATAGACGAACCCCAGGACTTCCACATACATCATGAGCAACTGACTATTGTTCAGTTGGCTGATGTCTCGGCCCTCTGACGGCGTAATTCCCATGCTGGAGAATAAAGCTGCTGTTACGTTTCCCACCAAATCGTCGATGCGGTCATGGGTCAGAAAGTAGACATTACTCGTCACATCGGTTGGGCACAGCGGAAGGGTTAGTAGCTCTTCCAATATGTCCGAGATGATAGCCTTCTCCTTCATCGCTCCCCGACCATAGTCGATTTCCATATCAGCAATAGTACTTCGCAGTAGCCTGATGGCAACCTCCGCCTCAGGCCGCGGCTCTTCGCATGCGAACTGAATTGTTTCAGTCAGATACGTCAATTTCAAAGTGACATCCAAGGTGAGAGCAAGGATTTGCGATCCTTCAAGAAGTAGGATGAGGGCCACGTGAAACGGAAAATGCAGCTGAGCCCATGCTTGTTGAGAAATTTTGCCAAGTGGGCCTCTTGGGGAGACATCGAAATAGGCTTGCCACAGGAAGTACTAAGTACAGCGGGACGTTAGTAGACGAAAGCAGAATCTGATCGCTAATATGCCTTACCACACTTGTGGTCACTCCCAATATGTGGACAAACGACCACTTGGTCCAGCCACCGGGGCGTACTGTTTTATTGGCAATCCTAGTCACTGCTATGACGCCTTCGCCGATAATAATCAATGTAAGGAGGCCCATTCGGACGGCCAAATGAGTGTCTTCGAAACCGATATTTGGAGTGATGTAAGATACCCCCATCACCATCCACATTTCAAACCCGAACAAGATAAACCAAACGGTCCAAATGTACGAGTGAATTCCATGATCCTCTTGAAAGGCAAAATACATCTGTCACCTAAGTCAGACTAAGAACGTGGTTGTTATAAACTGTTCCTCATTAAAGATAATGCTTACCCCGAAATAGACCAAACTCGAAGCGAGTAGTGCTGCGACAATGATGGACAACCCCTTTGCAGCGGGTCTCATCCGTTCATGGATCAAGCATATATTGACCGTGTACTGCACGGCAAGTAGTACTCGACTTCCACCAAGTAGAAGACTCAACGACTGAAAGGCCCAAACGTTCTCACCGCGGATCTGAGTCGTGAATCGTGTTCCCGCAGACGCGAAGCCTACCATGGCAGCCAGCTGAGCAGCCTTGCAAATTCGTTCAAAAACCGAGTCTCGAGCGAATCGTATATCAAATAATGTAATTTGAAGCCATGTGAACCAGATGACCCCTAGGAAGCCTATATATGCCCCAAGGCCTGATGAATTTTAGTGTTAGATACACCCGACCAGCCATAATCTAAACCCAACATACCTTCAACATTGTTGATCTCGTGCGTGGCGGTAAATGAAGACAGGTTTGCAACGAAAAACAAATCGAAGAAGAGTTCTATGGGGGTGGCATCGGAATGGCGGCAAAAATGGGGAGAGTCGCCATCCTTTTCGTCGATAGGCGTCGCAATAAAACTTAAGCCTCTGTGCTGTCTTCAAATTGGTATAAGCATAACTCCATGTAGATAGTACGTCTGGCGAGTTCACTCACAGCACGTCTTGCTTGATAGGCTTGGGCTTATGCAGCGGTTGACGAAAAAGGGAGAAAAATGGTGGCCGGGTCATTATATGGAAACGTCGACTGAAATTCATGGGTATCATAAGTCTGAGCAGATCTGATCTAAGTAAATACTATACACGAGCTTCGACAGAAGCTTGAGTCATCTGCAGCTTCAACGGGTTGTTGGCTGGAAAGAACGAAAGGGTAACGCTTCAGTAGGAAAGAGCGTCAAGTCGATGACGGCGACTGGCTCCCAGAGTCGCCTGCCGAGCCAGCTACAGAAGCGCCAAAG